CACAGTTTTTTGCTTTTGGTGTTTCTTTGGAGGGGGAGATTGGTGTTTTTCTGGGGGCTTGTTGTTAGGTGGACTAGAAAAGTTATTGTCTAAAAAGTTTCCTGTCTTTCTAAGCTGATCATTTTCTGGTCCTTGGCTTTTCTTGGGGCTCATATTGTTTGTATCATTGATGTTTCTAGTTTGCCAAATTCTCCAGTACTCAGTCTGGGAGATAGGAGGCAAAAAGAAAATCCAGAGGACTGAATGCTGTGTTTGTTCCTTGGACCTGCTAGCCAGCCTGCTTTCTTTTCTCCACCTGTCAGAGTCTTCTTATATTTGTTTTACAAATAATGTCCAGAACACTTAGTTAGATGCACTTGGCAGGAGGAATAAGAAAAAGAATGTCTATTCCTTAGCTCCAGAAGCAAAAGTCATAAATGATAATCACTCAATAGCCAGACATAAATTTTCATTAAGGAAATGAAAATACTGTTATTTCTAAAATGTTCAAAAGAAATTAGTCTTAAAAACTTTTAAAATTAGCTCTTTCATTTCAAGTGTATTTTTCTACTTAAAGCGAACATATAAAATAAGCAATAGAGTAGTTTTGCAACCTATCAATACAGACATTTTCTTATGAGGGATATTTGGTCATCTTTTATCAATGTGTTTGTTCTTTATATTCTTAATTATAAAGTAAAAAACTTAATGTTAGAACAAAATATGTTGTGGTGTTTTTCTGACAATTTAACATGCCTCTCTCACCTAATATTAAGAATTGTACTCATTATACTTTCATATTTTCTTTCCTACCACCCCACTCAGGCTGAAATTTTGTTCTTAATTTTAACCTTTTTGCATATTTTAGATTGTTCTGGAACTACTACTGCTTAATTATCTTTTATTACACAGTTCTGAGTCTTTGCTTTATGATTTTCATCTGTGATAGTTTCAAAATAAACTATCTCAAATTTATTTTGAAAACAGATGAAGTAGAACAGTGGGTTTTCTGAATTTTGTTTAGAAAGGACTTGCAAGAGGCAATCTGATTGAAAGTGCATTATTCTAAGAGACGTTTTAAGCTGTATTTATAGGGTCAGTACATATTTATTTAGATTGCTTTTTTTTTTCTTTTGTGTGTCTATGATTTTAAGAAATAGCTTGTCTTCCCTAACTCCCTGGCAGGTGCTATTACTGTATATAGAAGTCCATTCAGAGTTTCATCCATTCATTTATTTATTCAAAAAATATTTATTGGATGCCTACCACTGTTCTAGATGTTGACGATGTAGCAGTCTTCTGCTCCCATTGAGGTTCCAGTTTAGCAAGTGAAAGGAGTATGTTATCTGTGCTGTCAAGAATAAGGCAACACCATCCCTTACAATATTGCACAGGAATTGAAAATGCGCCCAACCAAAGAGAATAAACAAACAAAATACCTGAAAAGATTAAAGTCAAACTTATAAAAACACAAATCCTCCCCTCTAATTTCAAAAATTCAAACTAGTAGCAATCTTTATTTTATTAACAGCATCACAATATATTTTAGCTGTGAGATAAAAGCAAAAAATACATTAAAAACAGTTGAAAAAATACACTTAAAACAGTTTTTAGACTATTTTCTCTAAATTTAGATCTTTACTTTTTATTTTGGGGTGGGGGGCATTATTAAACAGTGGAAAGACTCAGAATGAGAGATAAATGTCTGTTTTATCAATTAACAGTATGTTACCTTTGGAAGTTATTTAACTTCTTTAAGCTTACTTTTCTAATAGTAAAGTGAAAGTGGAACACTTACCTTGCATGATTGGGAGAGTTAAAAAATATGCCAAATTTATCTTACCTAGCAGATCATTTGGCTTATCAAAATCACATGTAAATCTGCTTCTTTCCTTCCCCCAGGCCTTTTACTGAATGCTTATGAATCTCTTTGTCCACATACAAATTTAACTGAGTTTTGATACCCTTCAACCACCATAAAATTGAAAAAAAGTTTAGAACTTTGTTTTGTACAATTATCCTTTGACAGTGTCAATTTATAGAGAAGGCCTCTAATAAAATCTTATTTTAAATGCTTGAACTTTTTAAAGAAAATATGAATTTCTTGTGTAAAAAAGAAAGAAGCTGCCAAATCATCTGATGAATCTAGTGGCAATTATTCCATACCCCCAACATTTTACAAAGAATAATAATTCTTGCAGCCATAAAATAACTTTAAATAACACTTAACACAATCTACAAACAATGAACCCTTCGATCTAAGATTCTCTTTTAACTCACATTTATATTTCGTTTCAACTTAGTAAACATTTTTGTTTTCTCTTGTGATTAGAAAATTAATTCCTATGTATTTTAAGGGAAGAAGAAAATAAACCTGCTATCTCACCACCTAGAGAGAACCCATTTTGCAATACGCTCCATCCTACGTTTGTGATACAATGAAAACTGACCAAAACCTCCTGATAGCACATAATATAATGAGTTTCACAGTTTCTTTTTTATAAAATTACTAAAGGTGGATAAATGGCAATAAGGTAAAACATAATTGAATACAAACAATCCAGTGGGCAATGGGTGCATAGCAGAGTGGTGGAGTGCAAGGATACAAATCTCTGATGGCACAGTTCGACCCAAGCATAGCATTTACAGGAGCTAGAAGAATGGATTGAGTATCCCTTCTTCAGACTGTAACCCAGGGATATTATTTTTCTTAATTGTTATTTGATGAGGATTAATGAGTTTTACAAAGCAGAATTTAAGACTAGGCCTCTGACAGCATCTGGAGTACTGAGTTTGTGTCTTCAACTAAGAGATAACCCAGACACCTAAAACCAACTGTCGAATGAGCTGGGGATTCTCTGGGGAAGTGCAGCGAGATGACTGAGTGGATTGATAACGAGATCCAGTACCTCTCCTTGTAAGCTAGAATAAGGGTAACCAAAAGTCATTATGGGTCAATACCTTACAGGAGGCAAAAGAAATTACTTAGCTCAGGTCAGTTTTTATTGCCATTGAGAGCTACCTGTTATCAGTTGTAGATCCAATGAATGACCCTTTACCACTAAAGTTTACCTACCCTGAGCAGGGCTAAGTTTTTTTTCTTCAAAACATGTTTGTGCCATTATACCAGTTGCTTCTTAAACTTTTGGGATAGTTTATTCATCTACTGTTACTAAATCTAAGGAAATGGACTTAAAATTGTACACTATTAAATAGAAAATTTTTACTTGGGTTTTTCCAAATTACTATTCTGCTCTAAGCTAAAGGCAGTTAGTTGCCTTTAACTTTTTCAGATAAAGAAGCTGTAATGTGTTTTTCTCAGCATTAAAAACCATCTTTGTGCTTTAAAAATTGTGCAATTTCTTTGCTCTTTTTAGTAACTAATTGCTGCCTGTATTGTCTGTGCTGGACATTTTTGCTCTTTTACTAAAGCGAGGTTTATGGGATTTTTCTGTGGTATATCTGAGAAGCAGATGCTTTGTACTCCATATCAAATTCATTTGAAGTTGCTGCTGATTAATGTGTCTTAGTTTAAATAATCTTACATTATATACTCTTTAATATGTCAAAAATGTACTCATAGAAATGAATGGCCAAGATTAAGGAGAAAAAAAAGTACTAAGACCCAGTAGTTACTAATTTACAGAAAAATAAGGCCTTATTGCAAATCCTGGTGTCCTGTATCCAGGATTAGGAACAAAAGTACATGTCTGCAAGTATACATAACCAAACAGGTAGTAGGTTTCACATTTTCCAACTCCGAAAGTAACCGTTACATGACTAAATATTTAGCAAGAGCCTGATGCCCCGCACAGAGGTTGACAGGAAGATTAATTACATAGGGACCTAGTTTTCAGATAACATATAATAGAACATGAGCAAATTGAAAGCCAAGAATATTCTTGCTTTCCTTTATAATCTCAGTACCTGAAAGAGTGACTTGCTGAAGCCAACTTAGGGTTTGGGTAATTATTGAATGAATGAATGAAAGAATGAACGAATGAATGAATGAATGAACTAATTTGTTATTTGTATGTCCAAAGGGTCTCTTGTGGATTTTTTTATGGGTGATAGAGCTTAACTGAAGTCTGAGAATCAGAGATTTGCTATAATAGTGAAATCATAAATCCCATAAAACATATCTACTAGAAAAGCAGGCATAGAAAAGCATTTGATCAATTTACTTCTCTATTACCTACAGCTAGTAGACTTTTGTACTACAGTAAAAGTACAAAAGCATTATATAGGATCCCATTTTAATGTATTTTCATGTGACTTCACTTTTTCTTCATACATTCCTTAGTGGTAAAATACTAATTATCCCCAACCCCTAGAAGATCGGAATTAGAAAACAGAAGAAGTAAAATTCTGATTATTCATTTCATTAAATAATTCTGGTAAAAGTTCTGAGAGCAAAATTTAAAGTGTACTCCTTGTATGCCGGTATAATTCAATTATTTATATTTTTCTTTTTTATTACTTACAATTGAGCTTAACTTCAGGTGATGCTACAGCTGAAGAGTGTTTATAAAAATGGGGTTTGATATTTTTTTAAAAGAACTCAACCTGTGATGTGTAGAGACACTGCAAATGAGTTTTTGTTGATATGTGTATGCATGTAAGCACTTGAATAAAATGTGGCTCACTGGGTGGGGCGTAATGGAAAGGAATTGTCACAAGCTTTTCCCCCCTCAGTTCCCTTGTGTAGTAGAACAAGATGCTAAACTTTTCATTCAGTTCATCCAAACAAATTCCATCATCAACATGAAGTTCCTCTTCAAAATCAGCAACATATGACACATAAGCGTACCCAGTACCCAGAGAAGCGAAGTTACTCCATGTTTCCTCGTGGGCTCTCCTGATAACAGCTGCCTGTTTTCCCATTTGCCCTTAGCTCGTCAGGGACCCTGCGCCGCTTCCACAGATCATCCCCCCAGAGGTCACAGATCACCCTGAACCTACAGAAACAGGAAACCAGACTTCCTCAGGCCCCTTCAAAACACAGAAACCTGTTTCCTTTGCACATCTCACATTGGCAAAGCTCTGGCTTAGCAGATTCAGTGTGGAAGCAGCTGCCGAAAAGGCCAGAAGGACTTAATCCTCAATTTCGGATGAGTTGCCTTCCTTCAAACCACTGAGATGAAGGGGGCAAGGCTGTTTGTTCTGCTCTCCAGCATATGGAGTGGGGGCCTTGGGCTTAACGACACCACGCAGACTTGGGCTGCATCCGAGGATGGCAACTCCCAGAAGAATATGAGCTCTGCTTCGGTTCCTCTAAATAAAATACAAAGTCACCAAATGCTGCCAACCACTCAGGCCGTGCCAGCTGAGACGGCCCCTGAGGCCAGAACCTCCGAAGAGAGTCGCCTGAAGTCAGCACCGTCTCGCCCAGAGTCAGGCGCATCCCCTGCGGGTGTGAGACACCCAGGCCTCAGGTCCACGGAGGGGACAGAAGAAAGGGTGCTGCAGGTGCAAACCCTCGCCCCGGCGGCCAAGTCCAGCATCCAGGTTAGTGCCGGAGCAGAGCCCGTGGTCCTTTCCAACTCCACGCTGAAATTTCTGCAGAGCTTTGCCACAAAGTCGAATGAGCAAGTGACTTCTCTAAACGCAGTTGGCGCCGTGGGAAATCGATCACCCCGGGAAGCATATCTCGGCAGAGGGGACACCAGGGAAAGCCAGAGAACCAGCTACCAAAAGCCAAGCTTCGAGACAACTAGAGGGAAGTAAGAAACATTATTTTCTTCTTTTTCTCCCTAGCTATGGGGCCTGTAAGACGGCAAGCCAAGAGTTAAGCTACCTCGCTCCCAGAAAATGATTTTGTGTTCCAGGTGAAATTGGACCATATTTCAGTTAGATAAGGCCAGTAAGATAACTGAGCGTTGCCTTATCTAACGGAGAACAGAAGAACAAACAAAATGCAACAATCCCGTTTTAATTGAAGTTGTCCGAGTCACTTATAGAGGTGTTTTCACTTGGGATGGTTACTAACAAAGAATGTAACACCACAGTGACTGTTAGTTTAGTTAACTCAATTCAAGGGCATGTTGGTTGTGCTCAGAATTACACCCACAGCATGAAAGAAAAAACTTCAATATAGTTGGGATGTGAACAGATTTAAAAATTGAGACAGCCTGGTGCTGTGGAAAGTATACAATTATCAAGATCAAACCAAGTAGCCCTGGGCTGCAATCCTGGCCCCAGCACTATCTAGATTCATAACTTTGAGCAAGTCCATTGATCTCCCTGAACCTCAGTTTCTTCATATGTAAAATACAGATACAGTATAAGAAGTACAAATGAAAAATATAACTTTTCATGCTTACCATGCAAGATTCGAATTAATGAACTATGTTTAGATGTGTGCTTCTCAGAGCAGGTGCTCAACAAATCCTACTTTACCATCACTGTTATATTGAGTTATGTCATCATGAATGTGATGAATAAGCCGATTCTTCAAAGTGATTTAGATTTAAAATTAGAGCAAAGTCAGTTCGAATTGTTGGAGTAAATTTACAAAACACAGCTTAAAAGAGTATCATTAAAGACTTTCAAAAGGACTTCCCCCAAACCTGTGAAAAATGCAGATCAATATTTTACTCATTTAATATTCAAAGTTATCTGTATGTTTGGAATACTAGAAGTTTAGTGATGTGAAACTAAACTTTCAAATACCTTTTGCCTATAATAAAATAATTTCAAGATACCAAATAATCTTTTAGGAGCTTAAGTGAGTTAAACACCTTACTAACTATAACACATATTCAAGCTAATAATAGTAGCTTATACCTGCTACGTGGAAGACATTGTGTTCAAGCTGTAGTTGATATAAAGATGAGGAGACACTGGGAAAAATGCAAGCCACTAGATTCCCATTTATGTATTCTCTATTCATTCTATTTCAGAGATTACAGAAATTTTAAAAACACTTAAGTAAATCTGATTTTAATTAAAAACTTAACTTGGTGGAATTTAGAACAATTCCAATTTACTGTGAAACAAATGCTACAAATTACAAAATGTTCAATTTGGGATAAGTACATTTTGTCTATAACAGACATTTTAAGATATAAATTAAACTTTCTCATGTTTAGGGACAACAGAATTGATCTATTAAATAATAATAACAAATGCTACTTATTGAGGCCCTTTTCTAAGTCACTTACATGATCATTTCTATGAACCATATTTTGTTAATTTAATTTTTTAAACCAATTATATAGAACTCTCAGGCATTCACAGGAAATGATTGGAAACTTTTTAGAGATGGCGTCAGCAAGACACCATCTTGTGTGGCTCGGTGGTTGAACGTTGGCCCAGGAACGAAGAGGTCCACAGGTTCGATTCCCGGCCAGGGCACATGCCCGGGTTGCAGGCTCCATCTCAGCAGGGGGCGTGCAGGAGGCAGCCAGTGGATGTTTTTCTCTCATCAGTGTTTCTGTCTTTCTATCCCTCTCCCTTTCTCTCTCTCTAAAAAAAAAAATCAACAAAAAACCATATTTAACATATCATTTAAAATTTATATAGCCTATAGAAAATGGGATTCATTTCATAATTAGAACTAGTAATTCATAATTTAAATAATACTAGTTTTTAAGTAAATTCTAGTTGTTCAACCCAAGGGCCTCACTTCTGAAGCTTGTGGAAGGAACTCTTATTTATTTGATCACTCTTCATACATCACCTATTATATGCTCAAAACTGTGCTGGTCTCTGGGGATACATGGAATTTTCAAAATAAGAATAATTCTTGCTTCCAAGGCATATGTCATATCAAAGGTAAGCACCAACATATGAATCAGATTTTTTAAAATTTAATATTTTTAGGAGAAAATAAATTATTAAAGGTATAACCTACTAAACAGAACTTTATTTCATGGATTTTCCCATGAAAATAATATTAAGTTATTTCTGGAGAAAAGTACCAACTGTCCATAGAACTTCTATAGGCTGAGGTACTGGAGAGCCTGAGGTTTGCTTTTGGTAATCCTTTCCATGGAGTACAAGACTTCTTGCTCATTAGGCCCTGCCTTAATAATAGTATTCCAGAAAACTTAAGTCTGCTTTTTATGGACACAGTATTGATGCAAAGATAAGGCCAAAAGGGGTCTTTCATATTGTCATTCAATTAGCAAGTAATAATAATTTAGGGCATTTGTTCTTAGGCCTGTACTGTTCTGAGTGAATATATATATACATATATATTTCAATCATTTAATCATGACTATAAATCCATGAAGAAGCTTCAGTTGTTACTTCTTTGCAGAGAGGTTAAGTAACTTGACTAAGGTCACTTACTTAGTACAGCTCAGGACAAGATTCAAACCCAGGCCGGCTGCCTTTAGAGACATAGCTCTCAATCCCTTTAGCAAGCACAGCCTACTATCCCAAGTGGAAAAATAAGATGACCACTCTATTTCCCTTCTTATGAGCCTTTGAGGCTATTCTTTGCCTCCAGAATAAAGTCCAGGTTCCTTACCCAGTCAGTCATGCAATGCTATTCTTTTCTGGTTCCTGCCTAGCTCCCAGCCTCATCTTCTGTGTTTCTGGTCATTACAATTTGTAGTTCTCTGCTCCACAATGTGCTATTTGTTCAACCTACCTTTGTTCCCTGTTTGGTCTTCCTCTCCCGTCACCTACTTCCTTTACACCTAATAATAATACCTCCAGGAGCCTTCTCGGGCTAAGTTAGGTGACCCTTCTAACTGTTCATATAGCTCTTTTTAAATTCTTCTATCACTGCACTACAACAGTGTACTGTAATGAACCTGTGATCTCCTTGAGTACAGGGACATTTTTTCACTGCTAGCAAAGTCTCTGGCTTATAAGTACACAATAAATATTCAACAAACTGAATGTAAAATATTTATAGACCAATATGTGAATATAAAGAATAATCCTTCCCAAAGAAATATTCTTATTTCTCTATTAAAAATCCTGGTTGATTTGGGTTAACTAATTTGAGATAATTTGGGATTGAAAAAATAACTTAGATTTTTTTCCTACTGCTTTTGGAATTTTATAGTGATTCTAAATAAAAAGAATACTTATGTTTATAGGGNTAGATTTTTTTCCTACTGCTTTTGGAATTTTATAGTGATTCTAAATAAAAGGAATACTTATGTTTATGGGGTTTTTTTCTGGCATATTTTGTCTCATCCATACTTTCTCTCATCTGAGCACTGCAGTAATCACTACTGGCTATACCAGAGCCGTGTGTGGTGTCCTGTCTAGCAGAGTGGGTGTTTGTCAGTGACCAAGCACATTGAAATAGCCTGCATAAAAAAGAAGAAATTAGGATTAATGCATTTGTGTGTTGAGCAAGCATGTGCTGAGGACCTAATCTGTCCCCAGCACTGTGCTTGCCCTGCCCTCATGGATTCTGTAGACCAGTGGGAAGGGCATGGGGAGGAAAACAGTGAATCACAAGTGTTGATGTTGCATTAAAATGGTTATAAACATTCTGAATGAAGCTCATGAGTACACAAGAGGGCGCCACTGGAGGTTAGTAAACCCTCCCTGAGAGGGTAATAGGTGAAGTGAGGTATCGGTGCACATCAGCTGCTTACTTAACCTCTCCCACAACCACAACCTCTGCACACACGTACTTGAATTTGAATCTTCGCCATCTCCGTGAATGGCTAGTTTCATAACTAGAAACCTGGGATGTATTCTTGACATTTTTTTCCCCTTCTAGTCTTAAAAAAAATTCTTCTTGGTGCCCCCTCCAATATATTCCAGATTCCTCAGCTTTTCCCCACCTTCACTACACCATCCTATTTCTAGCCACTGTTATTTAACCACTAGTCTCCTACCTTGTCCACATGTTTCCACTCTTGCCTTCTGTAATTCATGCTCCACACAAGTAAGAGATCTTTTAATTTTTTTTATTGAATATATTTGACATATGACTTTATTTAAATTTAAGGTGTTTAAACTTTTAAATAATTTTATTAATGTATTTCATTAGATGTAAGACTTCATCTATTGTGACACATTATATTACATACTAATAAAAAGAAAGTATGACATCAGTATTTCTTAGGATTTTTATTTTTTATTTATTTTACTTTATTATTATTTTTTTCAGTCCTCACCTGAGGATATTTTTTTCCATTGCTTTTCAGAGAGAATGGAAGGGGGAGAGAGAGAGAGAGAGGGAGGGAGAGAAACATTGATGTGAGAGAGACACATCGATTGGTTCGGTGCCTTTCGCATGAGCCTCGACTGGGGCAGGGATCGATCCTGCAACTGAGGTATATGCCCTTGGCCAGAATTGAACCTGAGACCCTTCAGTCTGTGGGCCAACATTTTAACCACTGAGCCAAACTTGCTAGGGCTAGAATTTTTAGATTTACTTATCTCTTAGACTTAGGGATGTTTTTTACTATATATCACTTTTTTGCATATTTAAATGAAAATATAGATGAAACTGTCTGACCAATACTCACTGAAAAATACCATTGATTTCAAAATATATTCTGGATTTCAGAGATGTGTGTCTTAAAATCTGTGGAATTTTGTATTTTTTCACATGCTCAAAATTACTCAGTAGCTTTCTATTGCATTTAGAATAAAATGCTGAATTCTTACCGTGGCTCACAGGCCTTTCTTGACATGATGAGCTTGGCTATTTTTGTGATCTCATCTTCCATTACGATGCCTGCTCACTCCACTTGACCTCCTCCAGCCACACTGGCCTTCTTTCTGGTCACTGAACCTGTCA